AATATTCCAGTTTGTAGTTAAGTTGGTATATACAAAAGCGGATGTTCGTAGCTCAGCCTCTCTGTCATCCTGTATTTGTATCCTGGGGCGGTCAGCATCCGTTGATACAAAACCTTTTGCTGATCCCTCACATAGACTTTGATTGGTCACAAAGACTTGATTCAAAACAGACATACATACAAACGTTAACATTAGAGATATACGCCTAGTGTCATATAAGTTCCGTTACATAAAAATATTTAGCTAAACAACCCTTCCATACATAAACATTATGCACAAATATGCCTAATATATAATGATATCTAAGATTTTCAAGTGTATACATACATATAAATGAAAGTAATTGATACTACGAGTTTGTTATTGTTTACTTCAATATTCCCAACCTTTCAATAGCTTTTCAGTTAACGTGATCACGGGCAGACGAGATGAAAGTGTCTTGTAATTTGTCATCTACTGCCAACAAATTTTTAATTTTCTAGCTTATACTGCTCTGGATGCACGCAAAAAGTGCTTACTTTATCTCGAGGTCTTGCGGTGTGGTGGCAAACATGGGATTTAATATTTTTGATAGATAATTGCCAACCAAATTCTCTATTACAATTAGAATGTTTTTTAACTTCAACATTCTTGAGGATTAATCTCGGTATGTACAAATCTTCACGTAGTGGCTTGATGTAGTGGCTTGGTTTATTATTTTTGTGTTTACACACTGCTAGCTTTAACGCATTTCTGTTTTTAATATCTAAGTTAGGTTCTTTAACCCTTGTATGCTCCTCTTAGTCTGCCAAATGTATAACAAGCCACAGTCACAGTCAAGTTTGTATGTATATACAGGTGTCTGTTTGTTGTAAAGAAATGGTGCTCTTAATTAATCTCAAAAATTTCCTAAAGTTTTCGTTTTGTTCATATACATCATCTTGATAGAACTTTTTTTAAGATGTTACCTATTCTGTCAGTAACTCCCTTCACATATGACAGGTTTCGAATGGTTCTCGCGATGCTCATTTGGCACAAACACGTTGTAAGGACATATTTTACAATTTACATGCTTTATATACTTATACCAGTCTCCCGTTGTCGCTCGCATATAACTAGGGGATTTTCAGGTACAAGCTGTTGTTTCCGATATATTTTTTCACATAGACTGCTTCTATTTACCATATTGAAATTTTCATTTTTAAACTTTTCTAATCCCTCTTTTATCCTCTTTTGAATAACAAAATCTTTCTAAAATTCATACTTTATTTACATTTTTCTACCGCGGTGACAAGCAGGCTTACAGCTCGCCTTATATAGCAGTCAATGTAGCCTAAGACTTATTTACTTTCTGCACCGAAAACTATTAAAAATATGAATATATTATATTATAGTACACCTGTGAATATTTGTTATACTTTCAAGCAAATCCTACTGAATAGATTTAAGCCAGAAACAAACCAAAAATGGAATCACGTCATATCAATAACGTCTTGTATCAAAACCACGTGTCATAAGAGATAAATAGTTTAACCAGTGGTTTTCATATGTTATTTTTAAACAGACATTATTATTATACTCTGAACCAAATTAGAAAGCCTTTGCTTTAGAAATGTCAGGCAGAAATTTATCTTAATACAAATGAACCCTGTGATAACAGTGATCAACACAAATATATTATCAATTACCTGTCTCCACGGCGTCCAATTCCGAGTGATAAACAGTTCAGCTGTAAACGATCCAATTCCAGTGTACATTAAGCTTAAGCGATCTCTATCAGTAACCACTTCTGTTGTATAAGTTTATTTCCATTTTCCCATTTTGCTAACTAAAATTGAATTTTATGCTTCTTGGTCTGTATAATTTAATAAATAACATGTCGTTTGTATAATACTGTACACATATAAAGTTAAATAAAATAAGGCACTTTGATATTGAAAATAAACAAATATACTTTATTTACAGGTGAAACTTTGTGATGGCTGACTGGAAAATAACATTCATGGATTTTTTAAAATGATTAAATAAAATTCAGTTCAAAATATAAAGCTTCGTGTAGTAACGTAGCTTAATTCTAGTAGTTATATCATACAAGTGATATGGACTTGAATGATTATACATATAAAATTTTACAATTGTTGTAAAATTTTATATGTATAATCATTAATTACGAGAAACAATGCAAATCCATTTTAAAAACGATAAGTGTTGAGGTTAAAATATATATGTATGTATATATATATATATATATATATATATTGTAATGCACAAATAAACAACCATGAATTTACAGAATTCTATTTTTAGCCGTAAATTCCAAGACTGATTTTATATTTCCTTTGTTTAGTTTTCTATTTTGTTTTTTTCCCATATTATTTCCTTCTCTTTAAAGCCAATTTCTAAGTACATACGAAATTCAATAGCCTAATCTAGTGTTTTTAAATAGAATTCTGTATAAAAGAAGTTAAGGGTCCATTAGAAAACACCTTTTTGAGTGCAACTTAAAATTCAAGGATAAACTAAAAGACTCACATAATTTTATTGACAATTTAACCGTTTAAAATGTATATATTATACGAACATGAAAACGTTATGTTTCATATAAACCTTTGGTGTTAAAATTACTTCAATTTATGAACTTCACCCATCAAGATCGAATTTCAAGACAGGTTTTAAAAAGCAATTAATTGATATGCGGTACAATTACCATCGAAAGGGAAAAATTGACACTATGTAGTTCTTATTTTTCTATATCATTATATTAAAATCACCACAAACTAAATTTTCATGCCAAGATGCATGTATTAGTTAGTTAGCCAGCTTACAGCTTATGCATAAATAGCTGATTGGTTCCTTAAGTTCTAAAACAATGAAACCTAAAGCTTTTCAATCGCCGGACAGAAGCGAAGGAATTATAAAAGTTATATATCTATACTATAATACTAATTTTCAAGACTGTTTAATAATGTTGATATTACAAAACTTCAGGTTTTGTATGGTAATTACGATAAAAAAAGTAAGTTTGATAAAACCATGTAATACTGGAACATTTCGAATAAATAAACTTCTCATAATATTAGTATAATTTCGTAGAGAGTTTGAAATACAATACCTTGTCATTATCATACTTGGAGACATTATTAAATTTCGACATTATTAAATAATCATTAGTCATTACTCATTTCTGATAATTTGAAGTTGTGGTGAGTAAATTTCTTTTAGCTTTTTTCTAAATACATTCGCAGTACTTGACCACTAGTCGACCTGATGGTGAAATTGAAGCCGAAGGCGGTAAACATAGTATCCCATAGAAAATCTATTCTTTCTTGCCTAGTTTTCTGTTTATAAATTATTGTTTTTACGATTTTTTATTAGAATTCAAAAAGTTTTTGCCAATATTCTTATCTTTATCGGTGTCATTTTGATTTCGAATACAACTAAGGTTTATGTGATTTCCATTTATAAGATATATGTCAAGTGGTTTCTGGAATCAATTATTACGAAATATTTATCTTTCAACAAATTTATCAGATACAATTTTACACTTGTTATTTTATTAAATCGCTTGTACAATTGGTGCTATCGTAAATCATGCAACAAACTCTATTTCATCGTATTAATAAAAGGAAGGATATTTAATATATGAAACTTTGGAAAGTGTAGTTAGAATCTTTGGTTCTTTATTTGTGTGATTGTTAACTAGAATCTTTTGAGCATTTCGATAGTTTGAATACGATTTTCCCTAAAAAAAATGAGGCTCTCTTAAAAAAAAGTATCATTTCTTTCAATCAAGCAAAGAATCATATATTAATTGATCGCGTTACCCATAATAATGCGTGTAACATTTATATAAGGTACGGGCATACACTTATGAATTCATAAACATTCATATTTTAACCATGATTTTCTTTCGTCTCTAACGATTCAGATAACTGATGCTTACAGCACATTTTACTTTGCTGCATCTGGAACGAGAATTTCCCTTAGTAGTTTCTAAAGAGTAAACGACCACACTCTTTAGACTTTGCACAAAGTTTTGCATCCAGTATTTTCTGAAATTTCTTATGATAACGTTTCTATTTTGACAAATACATCGGACTTTAACTGTTGCCAAAATATTTTTAATATTTAAGTGTCTACGAGATTTGTGTTGTGTTCTATATACACAATTGACACCAAAGTTTAAAAAAAAAGAATTTGAAATCATTTAAAATGCTAAAATGTGTTTTGTTAAGTTTTTGAGCACTTCTATTACATCTGTTTACGTTAAGAATTGCTACAAATAAGTAAAGACATATGTATATGTATCTGTCAAAATAATTAATTGCACGGAATGTATGCAAACATTTTGTATAATCAGATTACTTTAAATGATTTAAAGTTTTATTTACGTTGTACTTAACACTTCACACTTATAATTACTGACATCCTTGTGAAATAAGAAAGCAATTAACTATGTCATGTAAAAAAATTATTTCAAGTCACACTTAATATCTTTCAATATAATATGAATATTGTACAGTTATATTTAGTTTAAAGGAGAATAAATTAGATAAGGAGATTTAAACATATCAAAATATTGTTTGAATTAAATAAGCCATCACCACTATATGCCTTTTCTCAGATGAGTGAGTTTGGTTTGATTAACGAAATATATAATTAAAACTTCTCAATACTTGCCAAACAGTTTTTTTTTTAATAAGTTTGACATATTCGCCTCTTAATAATTAAATATTATATTCCCTTTATTTTATTCACTAAAGTGAACTGTAAGGGATAGATTTTTTTTTAAAGAGATTAAGAAACTATTATTATATTTATTATTTATTTATTTATTTATTACAATTATGTTGGTATTTTTACATTTATATCTAAGTTTTCAGTGTCTCATAAACCAGTATTGGTTTTTCCGTACACTGGAATTCATCGTCTTTAACACACAATTACATTGACATCTCAATACATTTATATTTTGTACTTAGTGTCTTCTTCTTCTTCTTCTTCCTGGCAATTTCCCAGCTTTAGCCAGGGTCTGCCTTCCCACACAAACGCCTCCACTTTGCCCGGTCTTTGGCATCCTCGGTGGTTAATCCATTGGCTCTCATGTCCTGCTTCACGGTGTCCAGCCATCGCTTCTTTGGGCGTCCTGGGGGTCTCGCTCCAGGGACACACATATCAAGGCAAATCCTCCCGACGTAGTTCTCAGGCCGGCGTGCAACGTGGCCATACCATCTCAGGCGACTCTCTTCAAGCTTATCCGCTACGTCACGGACTCCAAGACTACCTCGGATGAATGTGTTACGTATGCGGTCAGCCCGCGTAACGCCACACATCCACCTCAGCATCTTCATCTCCGTGACGTGAAGCTCTTGAGTGTGCCTGGACACTACTGGACAACATTCGCTGCCATATAAGAGAACCGGTCGGATTATGCTCTTATATATTAGTCCCTTGAGCTTGGGCGGTATTCTGCGGTCGCAGACCACACATACTTAGTGTATTAAACAATAAAAAAAAAGACATCATACTTATAATATAATGATACAGGTGTGACAAAATGGAGTAATAAAATTAACTAAATATATAAAAACAATATAAAGTGCATAATCTAACAAAAAAGTAACATATACAAGGTAAATGTAACCTTATTATTATTTTTTTAATATACATACATAATTTCAGTATTGCACTTTTGTCGTGCGTTATCACTTTATCCATTGTTCAGTTTTAACATGTAATATATATCGGATTTATTACAGATTCGTTGTTTTTCAAGAGAGAGACGCCAGCCTCGCTGACGTTACAAATGTCACTTCTTCTAGAACGGTCCATGATATTTTAAAATGAAACTTCAATTGTTCTTAATGCTCCTGTATTTTTCGAAGGTTCTTCATAATAACATACTTCAATGATACGCACTCACTGAACTCTGAATTCTCCATTCTGGAGTCTGCCGTCGTGCGTCCAGACGTCGTATTTATAACAAGATTTAAACATAGTTCTATTCTCCTTTTAAGCAACCTTTGATTTCGTTTTACTTTTAACAATAATCATAAATACTAATGAGGTTTAATAAGAATTGATGACAGCCTCAAATTATTTTCAAGTCGCATCCGTTATTAAAGCTGGTAGCGCCGATATATTATATATGTACAGCTTTTTTGTTATAATAAATCTTTAAAATTTGTAAGAATCATTTTATTTACAGTTCATGGTTAATTTAACTAACCCATTCAGTTACATAATTCATTATTTAATAAAGAAATCTTGACCAATTATATGAAATAACATTAACAAAACCAAACTTTCGATTGTTTTGGATCAACAAACAATTGATATTACTTCGAAATTGTTTGGGGTATGCTATCTTGATATAATTCAATGGGGTTTGTAGAAAATACTTAAATTATTAGAATATTTTAGGATACTAATTATAATTTATGTCGTAATGTAAACAATGTAAATTATATGTATGGTGCTAACTGTTTCTAAATAATGTAATTGTAGGGACTTTTATGTATTTTTTATTTTATTTATGTCTCATGTTTAAATTTTGTTATAAAATAGTGAGACTATTGTAAAGCAAACTTCTGAAGTATTCCTCACGGACTTCATTCGTATACTGTAAAATGCCTTGTACATATAGCACAACCGGGAATTTTTGACAAAACGATGCAACAGAAGAAATTCTGTGCTAGATTTTGGGCACAAAAATGTTGATAAATAACAAGTTTATTTTACCAAAGTACGTGTTTTAAGACATTTGAAACCAATAAATTTCTATATATATTTCTTTCCTTCTCTTAGTTATAGGTGGATGGACATGAAAATTCTTACATTCCGATCCGAAGTTTTCGCTAACGACCTATAGAAAACTTTCTTCGAACGATTGCACATACTTTGTTTTTTATCGATAGTAGTATTGAGAATCTTCTAAACAATGACAACTCATAAGAAAACCTTATTATAAAATTATTTCAAACAGAAATATTGAAATTTGAATTTCATGTTACATTATCAAAACATTGAATCTAATAAATAATTTGAATAAAAGAACTGTTTTAACCATATTTAACAAAGTCTTACTTGTTGGTCTATAGAAAACTAAAACTAAGTTTTCGCACGAAAAAAATGTAAAGATTTAATAACATATAAGTTTTTTTGTTACTTCATGTCAATTAATCTTAACATTCTATGTTCATAGATACTGTGTAGTTTGTATCGATATACACCACCGTGCCCAAATATTTTTAACACTTAAAACAATGTTTCCTGTTTATCACCTAACATAAAGGTGTACTTATTCACGTTAGGTCTTATTTTCTAAATTACGTGCACCGTAAATCGATTCATTTTGTGCCATTATTAATTAAATAACTGTCCTTTTATCTGCTAATACTTTAGAACTTTCTCATATACTTTAGCAACTCGACCGTTACTTGGATAGATTTTCAAAGCTCTCTCTCTCTCTGTAGAGAATTTATTAATAGCATTGGTAAACTTTTCTAAGAAATTGTTCATAGTTCTCTTACTTGTAAATATCTCCTTCTTGAAGCATGCTTCTCTTTGTTTGAGTTTAACAAGCTGAAACTGACGCCACAAATATGTAACCGACTTATTATATTCCAGCTATTGATACACTTGATGGTTTCTAAGTGCTGTAATTGCATAAAAATAAAACGAAGCTAAATGTTAAAAGACTGAAAATCAATTCAATATCTGGAAATTTTAACTGATGCAAATATGTAGTTTAAAACTCCCTAGCCTTGGTAAAGTTATTTAAAATTATAGCATAAATTCGTGTATTATATTATCACTAGACCACAACAAGTTCAATTTCAAACAAAATGTGTGTGGTTAAAAAAATCCACTTTAATGACTCGGTTACACCTTAACATACATATATGTACATCCTTACATATGTATACATATATACATGTATATAATCGGTATTAATATTTTTGAAATCCGAAAAAGCTACTCTCCTACTTATTGCACAATTTTTCATAATTTATATTGAATATTCCAACACTTTTGGTTCATAAAGGTGAGTTGATTTGATACGCTGAGAGTTTTAAATGATTTTTTTACATTTTATCTCGTATTTTAGTAATCGTTATATGTTTTTATTACTTTATTACATTCTATTGAATATATATATATATATATAGTTTTTGTTATATATATTTTTATTTTATTTTTATAAACTGAAAGACTTAAAAATATGTTTACTTTTAAAACAAATAATAATTTTATTAAAGTACTCAAAAATATTTACAGTCTTTTTTATAATTTTGAATGTAATGAATGAAAAACGTAATAATTTATATTTAAAATATCCTGTAAAATAGAAAATGCCGTTACCAAAACCGTAGTCGAAAAATAAAAAGATAAATAGAGTAAACTTCCTTACTGACTTTAAATTGGTTAACTGTTATAGAATGTTAATAACCTATTGTAAGTCTTATGTCACGAACGAAGATTCCGTAAAGTGGCTTAACTATATCCAACATCATATCGTGTTTCGATTTCCGTGTAATGAATCTCAAGTGGTTGTATAGCTATGTTTTCTTGAGTTATATTATACTATAAATTGAAATTATATATTTATTTTTAGTGGGGGACAGTTAATTTAAAATTAAAAAATATTTTCAATACAGAAAATTCTTTCATACATTTTAACATTTGGCATTTTATTAAGAAATATATTAAATCCTGTATCCGTGACCACACTTCGTGACACCATTGGTGTATCCTGCGTTCATCCTGAGCAATATAGATTAAAAAATCTTTGGCATGGGATGACAAATAACAAGTCTATCGGATGTAATTATCGTTGTTACAAACTTTTGACAGACGAGATAATTAACGAAATTCAAAGAAATATATGTATTGTTTGGTGAGAGTACCTAAATCGATAATCATTAGAGAGGTGGTTTATATGACGTCATGGGAAGGTGATAATAGTATGAGAGTATTGCTATAACTCCAGGAGAAAGACGTTAACAACTCTAGACGGAGTATTTTTTAAATTGTTGAAACATATTATTAAACCGTTGTTTGTTAAAAAAGTTTAAAATTAATAAAGTAGTCTCGAATCGACTCAAACATCAAAGAATAAATATAACTTAAATAATATGTTAAGTTCAAAAAAATAACTAAATTAAATTAACGATGTACCGGAAAACGTAATGCAACAACAATAATTGTTTTCCCGTTCTGATTACTGTTCCGCTAACATGAACCTTGTAAGCAATCAACATTTTCCGGAAAAGGGACGTGTTAAACTGACCCACAAACACGCATTTCACCTTTACTGATACTGTTTCTTCTTAACGGAAAAAAACTTATAGATGCCACCTATATGCCGCGCCGATAAGTGAGATAAATATGTATTTATGTACAATGTTGATTCACGGACTCAAGTCATGACACCGTAACTTTATTGGAAAAGCGTCAAAAAAGTGATATTCCCGAAGACACACCCAAATTCTACTAGAGTCGATGGATTTGTGACTAAATAATATTAATTTTTCAATCAAATCTTTAGCGTATTTTTGCTTTCATAATAAAAATCTAATTATTGCAATTTAGAAGAATATAAAATGAAAAATGTTTTTAGTAATATTGGATATAAATTATATTTATGTCCCTATTTTTGCTTGTATGTAACACAATCAAGTTTTATCGGTCTTCGTGTGTATTCTGAGTTCGTACCACTTGTTAAGAAATTTCAAAGCCTTTTGCGTATGTATTAGTATATATTGGTTCGAGTTATTTCACACAAGTGTCAACGGTCAGTGGAGACTGATAGACCGCCATGTGACTATAAAGTATTGCTACCCAGCTGTTGGAGCTATAAAGCAAAAATACCCCTAAATTATTTACTATATTTTCAGCATTGTGTAAAATACTCGAAGTGCGACGCTCAAATTAATCTGACTGAATTACATGTTATAAAAAATTGGATTTATAATTAAACTTTAAGCTATCCAGGGTGAAATAATAATCTACATAAATAGAAATATCTAATGAAATCAATTTAAAATTATATTTTCTTTTAAATCACGACCTGTCATCTCTCCCAAAGCATAGTATTAGAGGAAAGATGACCGTATCCTTTATTCTATTTTTAGTATAGTTTTTGATCTTAAATAAAAAAAATCTTACTTTTTGATTCACCTTAAAGTCACCTGTATTAACTAATCATGTTGTGAACGCAAATATGTTTAACTTATTCATGTATTATTACAATATCCCGATCATGTAGAATATAATGGTGATTACTAAGGTTTTACAAGAAACATTATAAAAATAACAATGAATTCTAAAGCAAGAAAGACATAATTTC